TGCGATGCTGCACCGGGCTGGGATACCTCGTAGACCTGTAGGAACGTGTTCCTCAATAGGTTCAACATCTGAGGGAAACGACAGCACGTGGCCACTCTGTCTAGAAGGTTTGACGTTGCCGTTGGCCGGTGTTGGAAGAAGGTCAGGGAGAGGTCGAGACTTGCTAATGCCCTCAGCCGAGGAGTTAGTAGAGATCGACGAAGTATGCTGGCGACGTGTAATTGGTGTCTCCGCGCCCGATTGGAACTCTGATCCAAATTGAGAGCTCTTTGCGCTTCGTTTCCCTCGCCCTCCGTCTTCAACTCTAGTGTCATCAGAGCTACTGTTATTTTGATCCTCTCTCTCCTCTTCCGCTGATATATCTCTTAAGAGGGGTTCACTTTCTTCCGAGCCGGTCTGCCCGTTTTCGAGGCGTGAGTTGACATGTTCGTGAGTTCCCTCGACCTTCTCCGCGGGTGCAAGTAGGACATTGTAACCCCAACTCCACCTCACTAGCTGTCCGAGCTGTTGGAATATGAGGAGATAGAGAATGCCGCGAGCAGCAACCTCATCGTCATTGTCTCTAGGCACTTTGTCCCAATGTAGTCCTTTGATGGTCTGTGAGAGCGATAGGACCAAAGAGATAGGAAGAGAATTTGAATTGCCAAAGACCTATTGCGAGCTTATTATAACGCTATCTGAACAGAATGGTGAATTTCTTACCCCCATAGCAACCACGAAATTGCGAGGTCTCTTCGAGAAGCCGAAGGCCTTAGAGACAAGGGCCGAGACGAGAAACGAGACCAAGGTCTGGAGTATGAAGATGACAGGGATGATGGCGAGGTCCATAAGCTTGTCTGTAGTCAATTGAGAGGCCAGCTTCGTAAATACTATTCAGTATGTTAGCATGAACCTTTTTGTTTACAGGCTGATACCTACTGAGGCAGGGAGTGAAAACAGCAACATTAAGGTTAGCAGTAAACTTCTGCATCTCGGCGGTGAACATGCCCGATCGTGCAACAATGTAGCCGGGCAAGCTGACGCAGACCACCTCTAAAACTGCCTCGAAGACGAGCATTGTAAGGCGGGGAAGGGCGGGATGTGACGAATGTGGAGGAGGTGGGCCTGCCATCTGAGCTTGCGCAAGGGTGGACTGAGACGAGATGAAACCGCCGGCGGGTATTCCTCCTAATGATAAGGGGCCCATGAAGTTGGCATTGCGGAATGAGGTCGGTTGGGTGAAGAAAGGCATGGTGAGGGATTTCGGGGCCTTCAGAAGTTGGTGGTAATAGCACAGCAGTCGCTCCTTCTTGTGTGAAGAAATGCCCTATTCCTTCCACCTCAGGAATTTAGTCGGGTCATGACGGATTGAAGCAGTAGAGATACCTTCAGCTCTTTCACCAGAATGCTAGAAAGGCCTGTGGGTGGGGAAAGAGGAAAAACAAAATCAAGCAACGTGAATGCTAGATTTGGCACCCGAAAACTGGATGATTATTTGGCGCTTGTTGTAGCCACCCGCCACTTACAATCGATAGTAGCGCCAAGAAACTTGGTAAAACTTGTATTTCGGTCTGCTGGCCGCAAATTAATGCCTCTTTCTTTTCAATGTACCCAGCAGAGTGAGTAGGTGTGCCAGAACTACAAATTGGCAAAATCTTGGGGGAACCAGGAGGCTTTTATCCCCGCATCAGGTTCGGCCGTTCATGCCGAGGAGACAGAGCACGTCAAAATAGAGTCTTCGGGATGTCTTATCGATAGCCAGTGGCTCAGTGGCTACCAGCGGGCGGGCAGGACTGCAAGCTGAGGGAGAATGCAAATCACATCAACGCCGCTTTCTCTAATTCGACGTTACGTCCTTATACACGTAGACCGTAGATCCTACACGACATTGAACACTTCCTAGACCTGTAGTATTCATGAAACACTAGCGGTGCGGAGCACTGATGGATACTGGCTCTGTGGGCGGAATTTTCCGAGTCTTTTCTGAAGCATCGATTTCTGTCCGTCCCCTCAGCCTGCCATTCTTTTGTGACATGTCCCCGTTGACCACGCCTGTTGCTTCACCCTCTACCCTCCACCTCCCATATAGCTCAATACTCCCCACATATGCTGCTAGAATGTGCTGACCTCGTACACTCACTCCTTTTCACCTCCCACTCACTTCCTCCGAACTTTCTCCCTCCTTATCTACCCCAACCATGAGCTCTTCCCCGGCCTCGTCGGTTCCACCTCCAGATTCCCCTACCTCCCTCGAAACAAAGCCTTCCGACGCTCCCCTTTCGCAAGTCGAAGACCTCGCACAGTCGCCACCAAATACACAAGCACCACGGCTTCCTTCATTGCGGATGAACGACTCTCAACCGGCAGCAAACATGACCAGCTCCTCGACTCCTCTCGGAAACGTCAACGCTGCCCGAAGACCTAATCTCCCCCAAGCGACTTTGGCCAGCTCACGCGGTAGTCAACTCCCTCAAAATATGCAGGCAAAAATGAAAGCTTTCCATTTATCAAGACAAGGCACGCCCCCACAACAAAATCTTCGAATGCCTTTGAACGCCGGTGGCCAGTCCGTTTCTGCTACTCAAGTTCCCACGACCACTGCTCTTGCTCCGGGTGGAACCATGACTGGAAGTCTAGCGCCATCTGGCCTGGTCAGTCCCCCGGTTGGGCCTCTTGTTGGCGGACCCGCAGGCCTGAGGCTTCCTACCGGCAATCGACCACAAGCACCAAACTTTCCCAACTCAGCGCCGGCAGTGCCCGGTGTAAAGATCAACCCGAAAATGGGAGGGTTGGCGGCAAAGAGAGGTCTGAATAAAGGCATGAAGCTATCAGATGCAACCGGACCACCAGCACCATCACAAAATTCAAATGCTACTGATGGAGATGGAGGACCTGGTCAAGATCAAAGTGGTGGGACATCTTCGGACACGGGCTTTAGTAAATTCTCGGAATACGTTGATACCAAGACCGGCACATTGAAATTCAAGGGCAAGGCTACAATACATGGCAAAGGAATTGATTTCTCGAGCGGTTCGAGCTTCAACATCTCGCTGGACGAAGTGGACAATTTGGAAGAGCTTGGAAAAGGTAATTATGGGACAGTCTACAGGGTACGGCATAGCCGGCCTCAAATGCGTAGGCCAGGCCAAGGGTTAGCAGGCAACCGACCTCTACCGTCCATAGCAGCATCCCCGGTAACCAAAAACGAAAATACATCCGAAGACAACTCGCCTCAGTCAGCTACCGCTGGCAAAACGACTGGTATAGTAATGGCAATGAAAGAGATCCGCCTGGAGCTGGACGAGGCTAAATTTGCTGCCATCATAATGGAACTGGACATACTACATCGTTGCGTTTCACCTTTCATCGTCGACTTCTACGGTGCCTTCTTCCAAGAAGGTGCTGTCTACATATGCATGGAGTATATGGACGGTGGCTCAATTGACAAGCTCTACGGGGATGGTGTACCTGAGGGCGTGCTTCGGAAGATCACACTGGCAACGGTGATGGGTTTAAAGTCGTTGAAGGATGATCACAACATCATACATCGTGATGTGAAGCCAACAAATATATTAGTCAACACCCGGGGCCAGATCAAGATCTGTGACTTCGGTGTTAGTGGCAACCTTGTCGCCAGCATAGCGAAAACGAATATTGGCTGTCAGAGCTACATGGCGCCGGAACGGATTTCAGGCGGTGGCGTTGCCCAAGCAGGCGCGAATCCAGGCGGAGGAACGTACAGTGTGCAAAGCGATATCTGGAGTCTTGGTTTGACAATCATCGAGTGTGCTCTGGGGCAGTATCCCTATCCGCCCGAAACATATGACAATATCTTCAGCCAATTGAGCGTGAGTCTAATCTCTCTGCCACGCTTACTTCAATGGACTAACAGGAACAGGCTATCGTGGACGGTGAACCGCCTGATTTGCCAGCTGACAAGTTTTCCGAGGCAGCCAGGGAGTTCGTAAGTGGTGCTCTCAACAAGATTCCCAAGCTACGACCTACCTATGCAATGCTTTTAGCGCACCGTTGGTTAGCTCCGTTATTGAAGCCAGCAACGATCACTGAGGAAGATGAGGACGCCGACGAAGAGGCTACTAACGATGACGCTGCTGCTCCTGGTGTCGTTGACGGGGAGGTTGCACAGTGGGTCACGGAGGCCATGGAGCGGAAACGCAACGGTACCATGGGAAAAAAGGCGAAGCCAGCTCTTCACGCTGCGCCTTTGGATAGTCTTCCGAGCCCCTCCCTGACCACAGCCGAGGCTTGACAGTCAGGTCACTGCGATTCAAATCCAATCGAACACGCTCCTTGCCCAACACAGCATGCTGCTCAGCTACCCCAAAATAGCCAGGCGGTGATGTACCGTCTAAAGACTTCCCCGCCTAAATTTCGTCCAATGCCGTTGAAAAGGAGTGTGAGGTGGAATTTTCATGCGGCTTCTTGATGAGTTCATCAGAGAGCGCAGGCAGGATATTGAGCACACCAACCAAAGCGAACAAGCTGCATCGATGGTCAATGGAAAAAGTCCATGCTCCCACTGGACGGAGAAGTAATTTTTGTTTCCTATTGTGGTTCAATGAATGCAATAGGTGCACACTCAAAACCGAATGTTGTAGAGCTTTTTGGAGACGACAGACATGACCTAAGCCTGCAAACTTCAATATGAACACATCCTTGAGCAGTTCAACCATCTCGTCTGGCATGGCTCTTCAGTGACCCACATATTTGTATCAACAAACGTCCGCTCACTATAATAAATCATGTAATCCCTATATATAAACGCCCCCCAGCCTACCTGGATACATATCTATTCAACATGTAAAGTAAAAAGTATAGATATGACTATTTATCCCACGAACATACTCAGATCTCGCATCAAATATTACCTGGAACTCAAATCATCCTCTCCCCACTCTCCATCTAACACAAAAATAACCATATTGTAAAACAAAAAAGCAAAAAGAAAGTCACATTAAATGCCCCCACTACAAATCAATTAGGTCAAGAATCTTTAAAATAGTTGAAGGCTACATACGACAGATTTGAACTATCGGCCTTTGCATTACAAGTGCAACGCTCTACCCCTCTGAGTCAAGTCAGCGGACTGGAAACTTTGGAAATTTTGAGGGAAATCTTACGAGCTATAGGGGCAACCTGAATCGATGAGCCCCTATTATTTTATATAATCTTTTGAGTGAGTTCAATAAATCCTTGTGTGTGGCGAAATCTCATAGTCTTGGCGTCAGGCTTGGAAGAAACCCATGGCCGCGACCTCCAAGCCTTGGTGCTGAATGGCCCCTGAGACTTACGGCTGGTAACCTCTCATATACAATTGACTAGTACTCTACTAATTGGCTTTTTTTGCTTCAGGAAGACCGGATCCTCACTCCTCCAGGGCCCACTAAGCTACAAATCGGAATTAGAACTATAACTCTTTACGGCTCCAACCTATACTATTGAGTGGCTTATATACATCATACGATGGCCAATATCAACTGTTGAATTTGGTGATAAACGATTCATAAAACATCTTTAGCAGAGCTAATTCTATAGTCTGTAAGATCTTGGCCATTTCGCCCGGCTCGGCGGAAGGGCGTGCAACTTCTTTTATCATCACTACAAAAGATCAAGGACCAACATAAAGTTAACCCTACAGCCCTTCCCCCAAATTAGCTTTTGGGTGGGCTCTGGAGTAGAGGTCAGGAGGACCCGGGCTTGGCTTTAGGCCTTTGTCAAACTCTCCCACGGAAACCCTTGCACCTCCCAGAGAAAACTAAGTCGTGGAAGGCTTAGTTGATACATGTTGGCTGAGGTCGCGAAGCAACACCACTATGGAGATGCAGCGTTCACGCAAAAGGTCCAATGACCACGCTAGGCCTGCAGATTTGCCTTCAGGGATTCCTCCAGGGCTGAGACTTGTCTGGTCCCTATCACTGGCGAAAGTCATCACATTGAACAAGTGCCTATCATCTACCTAGTCTATCCAGAGTTCCATCTTCCAGAATGTCTTCTCTCTGGTCTCGAGATACTTGTGACAAGGGGCAGGAGGTTGCTCTCACAGGCAATACCATTCTCGCCCACCCTACCAATGTTACTGAATTTCGATAAGCATCTTGGTACTGGAGATAGTTTCGAGGTCAACTGTGAGCTGTATAGCAACCAAGGCGCCAAGACATGGACACCTTACTTTGTTGTCGTCAAACATGCGTGTAGATGAACACTCTTCAATGCAGCTGCAACGACATTACGATGGCGTCCTTCGCGAGCTTCGAGTTCTGACCCATCCTGGCTTGAAGGACCATGACTACATCCTACCCATACTCGCTTACGGCTGTACCAATAACATCCACAGCGGGCGTCCATATCTCGTTGTTGAGTACTCAGACCATGGGACTCTAACAGATTATTTGCAGCGAATCAAGCCGGACCTGAACGAGCGCCGCGAGTATGCCTTGGATGTCGGCTACTGGTTTAAAGCTCTACACGATTGCAAAATTGTTCATGGAGACGTCAAACCCCACAATGTCCTTGTTTTTGACACGACAGATATGTATCGAACACAAATGGCAAAGCTCGCTGACTTTGGCGGATCATTATTCGAGCTTGATGAGGACCAGGTAGCTACATACGGCGGTACCTCCATCTACAAAGCTCCTGAAAAAGATGGTCGTGGGAAATACAAGGGACCGCAACTATTCACACGCTCACAGCTCTACCCAGTTGACGTATACTCCTTCGGCCTGACCGTTTGGGAGATCTTGAACAATGGTATCCAGTATATTGAAGAAGAATGGGCTAGGCCTGGAGAGTTGAAGCTCGATACCCTGCGCAGGATCTACGATGACGAGGAAGACGGCATTTTCCGACGAGGACGAACATTTTGTAGGCGCATTTTTGGGGGACGTCAGCCCACTGCACTACAAATCGCGACCCTGAAGACATTTAGGGCAACTTTGAGGGACAATGTAGCTGAGCGGTCCGACATGGGCAACATATTGGAAGTGTTAGCTCATGGAACGTCTTTGCCCCATTGTAGCGCAGCTAGTTAACGTCAGAAGTATTCCGCGGCCATGACTAGCGTATCCCTTAGTGAAAACCCTCCCCTATTCATCGGACAAGAATACCGTCTTGACGGCACCATCACAGCTTGACGGGGTTCCACGAGCCTTCATAGGATCCGAGCTTGTTGTCAAAGGTTATGCTGACAAATCATTCCACAAGTCGAGCTTGACGGGCGACATCTCTGAGTCAACAACTATGGGGAGAACAAACCCCTAACACAAATCACGCCTGCCAAGCCACTCTCTCACAGTTTCAACCAACAGGGGTAGACTTGTTTCGGGTATGCTTGTCTGCATCCAGACACAGTTTATTATAATAACCCGCAATATCATACGACAACAGCCCCAGATACGCCATGGGAAGTACAATGCAATTTCTTCGAACTCCTCAATCCGACCACCCAGGACGCCTTGGACATAGATGTCAGCGTACAGTACGAGTCCTTCAAGGCCTGCCTGCAAATTACACTATGCTACCCCATCGGATTCGGCGTTCGGCCTGACGCCAACAACATGCTCCATTGCCTTACCGCCAGTCTCCATGGTAATGCTACAGCCAAGTCTATCTATAGACGTATAGTCGTCGCTCTAGCCAGGACCGCAGAAGTTCACGTGGACCTCGAATTTAGAACAGAAGTTGACAAGTTACTCGAAAGAGAAGAAAGCACTGAAAGTCATTTTGCAACAAGATTCTGGACCCATCAGCGTACTATTCCCGTATTGAATGTCCAATGGTCTAGTAGGAGGCGTCCACCTGAACGATTGCCCCTGGTCGAACTCATCGAAGCAGGAGATTTGTCTGTTTTCTTACAGGCTCTGAGTAGCCAGGCTTGTAACGACGGCGACCTTTCAGTAGCTCTCTGCCTAGCATGTCGGCGTGGTAATGCTGATCTCGCGATGATCCTCTGTAATCATTGTGAACGCTTCATCGCAGAAACTGAAGAACCGACTCCTCTGCACTGGCTGATAATGTTCGATCCGGGAGAGGCTGCGAAAGTAGCTTCCGCACTTGTTTTAGGGCGATCTGGGCACTCGACTGGTCCCTGCAAAGAAGTTATTGACGCTGTACCGCCTGCTGGAAGTGGCATATTCTTCTTCCCAGAGCACTGTGCTGAGCTCTTTGGGACGCTCTTACACTGGACAGTTCGAGTACGGAATATCAGGCTGGTGGAGCTCCTCATCAACCTAGGTGCCAATATCAATGTTCGCTGGAGCGGGTATAATCGCTTTGACTCTGGCGTTTCAGCACCTAGTCTTCCCAATACCAGTCCTCTCGATATTGCTGTCGCATTCTATCTGCGAGAAATTGTTAAAATTCTGCTCGATAATGGTGCTGAATGGATTGGGGGGGCTTTTGAAGAGATTCATTGTGCCTTCCATTGTATTGGCATGGCCTGCACTCCGTTATCACGATATATCATCCATGGTGCAAAATACCGAGATGCTATGAAAGAGGTGATTCATCTTCTGGTCAGACGGGGCTTCGCTATTGCCGTAACAGGCTCTAATGGCTACATCGCTCTGATGATCGCTCTAAGAGACGCTAACTGTGAACCTTATATCATCAAAGAGCTAATTTCTGCAGGGGCGTCTCTCAAACGATTGACCTTGGATGATGCTTCTAATACCAGCTATCATTGCAATAAGTACTGTCGCCACTCGAAGATACAATGTCTCAAGCCTAGCTTATGTTGCACCTCACGTCGATGATATAAACGGAAAAGATAAATAAGGGAAGAGTGCAATCCACTATGCTGCCATTAGAGGAAGTGAGGCGATGACTGAGATTATCAGCAATTGCCCTGAGTTTAAAGTGAATGTAAAGGCTTCGAATGGTCACAGCGCCCTTCACTTTGCTGCTGTCTTCTGGTCAGCAGAAGTTCTGCCCATGTTGATTCGACATGGCGCCAAAGTAGAGTTGGGGGACTCGGATGGTATGACTCCATTGCAACTCGCCATCTTTTACAGAAAGAAGAAAGCCGCGGACATTCTTCTGGAAATGCGAGCTGAGATTGTCTTCCCAGTTGGGACACCATTGTCTCAAGGAACAGCACTGCATGCTGCCGTTAGCGGGGCCAGCTCTTCAGAGACTGTGTTGAGGTATCTCCTTGACGAAACATCCAAAGCTCAGGGCTACAGCCGTAATCAACGGCCCGGACACGAATGGATAGACGACTCTTCACAAAGCTGCGTATTACGGTGATCATGATGGTGTCGAAGCACTTCTGGCATATGGAGCAGATCGAACGTTGAGAGATGCTTCCAAGGGTCGTACACCTGGGAGAACGCCGCTGTATAGGGTGTCAGAGCTGTTGAATCAGATTCGTGCCCGTGGTCATGGCCTGGATCACAACCGTGGTCGTCGAAGGAGGCCTCAGGCAGTCAAGGCTTTTACAGTAAATTTGGACCAGATAAAGCACCTTTTGGAGAATGAATAATAAACATGATAAAGCTACGATCACGTTATATTTCAGTGATAGTATTGACAGCAACTGATCATTCACGAATGACACCGTCTCTCCTGCAGACAGACTTGCTACAAATGCATCATGACGGAGTACATTGACACACGATTCCCACGAAGGCCAGTAGGAGAGCGCAGAAACTAGATTCCCGATCATTTTAGAGGGCAGCTCAAGGGTATGCAAATGCAGGAATCTGGCACTCACGCTGATGTGGCCGAGAAGACTTCAACTGGGTGGACTTGGCTCAATGAGAATATGAAAACACCAAAGCAGGAGCCACAGAGAGCAACGAACCACAGTCTCGTTGTCATTGAATGCATTTCCCATCGGCAGAGTTGAGAGGGCCACAGCAGAAAGACTTGTTAACAAGCGCGCCACCACTATCACTCGATTGGCTGTGATATACATAACCTTCTTGTCGATTGATTTCCGTGAACCATTCTACTGTTTGATCAGCTGTTATATGCGATTTGCCATTTTCCTTTATCACCATTTCTTTGTCAACATTCTAGCGTCTTCTACTGTTTGACACTCCATCATGTATATTAGGAGCCTCATTCCATAGATTCTGG